TACAGATTCTGGAAGATATGCTTAGGGCATGTGCTCTGGAGTTCCAAGGGAGTTGGGACAAGCATTTGGCTCTGGTTGAGTTTGCCTATAACAACAGTTATCAGGCGAGTATTGGCATGCCTCCATACGAGGCATTGTATGGGAGGAAATGTAGAACACCGTTGTGTTGGGACGAGGTTGGCGAAGCCAAGCTCGAGGGGATTGAACTTGTCGAAATCACCAAGGCTAAGGTGAAAGTCATTCAGGATAGACTCAAGGCTGCCCAAGATCGGCAAAAGAGTTATGCTGACAAACGACGCAGGCCATTGGAGTTTGAGGTCGGTGATAAGGTCTTTCTAATGATTTCTCCTTGGAAAGGTATCATCAGGTTTATATCGAGGGGAAAACTTAACCCCCGATACATTGGCCCATTTGAAATCCTTGAAAGGATAGGGGCCGTGGCTTACCGTATCAAATTGACGCCAGAACTTGAGAAGATACACGACGTGTTTCATGTATCGATGCTCAAGAAATATGTGCGGGATCCGTCTCATATCCTTGAGAAACCACCGGTAGAGATACGTGAAGACCTACAATATGCGGTGGAACCGGTGAAGATTGTGGGTCAACAGGTAAAGAAACTAAGGAACAAGGAGATTCCTATGGTAAAGGTCCTTTGGAGGAGTGATCGAGTCGAAGAAGAAACCTGGGAGACTGAAGTCTCAATGAGGGAGCAGTACCCTTTCCTTTTCGATTAGACACGTGGATTTCGGGGACGAAATCCCAAATAAGGGGGGGTGAACTTGTAACACCGTCCCCAAATGTATTTATCTTTAAGCTAATAAGTTATTGAACCCTATGAAATATTTAGTGAATTTACGAAGTTGTGAATTTGTATTAATTTTTTTCGCGTGAATAGTAAAATGCACGTGGGGCCCACATCGGGAGTGGGGACCGCCCGATATTATCGGGGCCACATATTATATTGATCTTGGACTAGATAATATGTATATGGTGGTGGATACCCTAGTTGAGCCATGACAATGGCATAGGGTTGACCGGTTGGTCAAACGGGGCCAAATTATCAGTATCGGCAATCTATCAGATAACAGCCCAAAAAGGGATTTCGGAGACTTCTAAATTAAAGTTGAGGGATTCATATTGATTCTAAGGTCCATTAAGAATTGGGAACAAGTGTTATATTTTATTTGACCCGATAAAATAAAATATACTTAAAACAGTCCGAAAAAAATACAACTTTCAGGGCAAATTGCACACTTTGGGACAAATTGGGATGACCTCCCACATGGGTGGGGGCCACCCCACGAAATTGTCAACCCTTGAGGGCTGGATGAGTGCCAAATTGGCTGAACAACAATTGAGAGGATGGGGGAGACACCTTTGACATGTAGTAGCCCCTCTCCCTTCACTCATTTGTCTAAATGAGACAAGAAGGAACCACCCCTACCTCCTTACACTCATCATTTCGACCCAAATACACCAAGAAGGAGAGAAGAGCTCTGCAAACTTCATCTCCATAGCCCAAATCCGAACTCAAGCTAAAGGGAGTCCAAGAAGAAAGTTTAAGAAGGAAAAAGCTAGGAAAAAGTGTGAAAATTAAGGTAATGACCTTATCATAACTTTTCCTTTGTTTTTCTTCTAGCATATAAGGTATATATCATATGAAAGACCTTTAGTATTGTTCTACATGATTTAAGTGTGGAATAATGGGTTGGAAAGTGATTCTAAGTCCAAAAACGGACTTAGAAGCCAAATCGACCGGGTTGCCGGAAAATAACCTTTTATAGGTTATTTGTGTTGATATGGGTTTTGTGATGATAAAACCTTGTTAGGAACTTGATTTAAAGTATTTTTGAGCTTCGCCGGAGTTTCGTCGGAGTTGGTCAAAGTTCGCCGGAGTTGGTCAAAGTTCGCCGGAGTTGGTCAAAGTTCGCCGGAGTTGGTCAAATTCCAATCGAGAAACGTAGAACGCGCTTAAGCTTAATTAAGGTGAGGATGACCGACTATGATACTTATAATCTTTGGGTTAATTTCATGGGATTTCCTAAGTGAATATAAATGTGATGTGCATGAATTGTTGATGGTTAATAATGCATAAATAGAACTACTATTGATTAAAAGTATAGTATGCATGATACACAAATTTATGAATAAATTGTGTATGTTTAGATGTTATGAATATGTGTGTATGATGGTTGTACCAACCATGAATATCATTTGGGATAGTATACGTTGATGCCATGAGGAGAAGGCATGAAGGTATGAAAGTGATACTTGATATTAAGGCCAATTATGCAAGAAGAAGGAATTATATTGAAATAAATAAATAACTAGCATTGAAATATTAGTTGGAAATGTTAGTTGAGAAATGGATGAATTAGATCCTAAGAATTTGAATTATAAGGAATCGGTGATTATGAGCCGGGCTCAAGACCGATGTAGATGACGGTGATTATGAGCTGGGCTCTAGACCGTAGTAGATGACGGTGATTATGAGCTGAGCTCTAGACCGTAGTAGATGACGGTGATTATGAGCTGGGCTCTAGACCGTAGTAGATGACGGTGATTATGAGCTGGGCTCTAGACCGTAGTAGATGACGGTGATTATGAGTTGGGCTCTAGACCGTAGTAGATAACGGTGATTATGAGCTGGGTTCTAGACCGTGATAAATAATGATGAATTGATATTAAATGAACGGATTAACTATAATGTAATAATGCCCTAGTTGAGGGCCTCAGAGATTTAAACTTTGATTATACTTAGTATAGTTGTCATTGTACTTGTCAAATGCTTCCAAGTACTGACCTCCCCTTCACGGGGAGGCCACCTCACAGTTTCAGGTAGAACTTGAAGGTTGCTACCACCAGCCGCTGCTTCGGGAAGTTTCTGAGGAGAAGACTTGGTTCGTGCTTCTCCCGTTCTTGTTTTGAAAAACAATATGAATAATGCTCATGGATAATATTTTCTGAATAATTATTTTGGGGGGCTTGCATGCCTAATTATGCCAAGTGTGGCTTGAACACTTGTATCAATTGTTTCCGCTGCTTTAATAAATGTTTTACATTATGTTTGTTTATGGATGTACTATGTGTGAATGGTATTCAATACGCCTTGTATAGTATGGATGAGTCGGACTGCGGTTGACTATTCGTACTGTACGGCGGGTTGTTGACGTGTCCGGGTAGGTCCGGGGCGTGACACCCCTCTCCTCGGCAAAATCAAGGATGGTGCTGACGGGGTGCGTCAATGGTGTTCGGGGGCGGTCCAGGAGAATGGGTTGTGCCCAAGTCTTAGGGTTGTTCTTATAACCTCCCCCGGGCTTGGCTTGGCCTTGCCGAGGGCGGTCATCGGAAGGTCCTGAAGACTTGGGGTGATTTGGAGGAGCCCCCGGCCCTCGGTTGTTCTTGTTGTCAGCCTTCGGGGGCTGCTGATCTGGATGCTGGTGGTATTTTTCCACCTCCTCGGCCTCGGCGTACCGGTCCCCCCGCTGCAGGGCCCTTATGTAGTCGCGGGGGGGCTCAATGATGAGGCTCCTTGAAAAATTGCCGGTGCGGAGGACGGTTTGTAGGAGGGCCAGGAGGGTCCCGTCGTCAGCACCGTCGACTTTGTCGGCTTCTGTTCTCCAGCGCTCCAGGAAGTCCCGAAGGGTCTCATCCCTCTTCTGGTGTATGGTCAGGAGGTGGGAGAAGTGCTTCCTCGTGCGACGTCTCCCGGCAAATTGCGTCAAGAATCGCTGGGCGAGCTCTTGCCACGAATCAATGCAGCCTTCGGGCAACCGGTTGAACCATTCGTATGTCGGCCCCTCTAAGGTGGAGAGGAACCAATGACACAAATATTCGTCCGACGCCCCTACCATCATCATGCTGTTCTGGTATTTGCTGTAATGCTCCTGGGGGTCCGTCTTCCCGTTGTAGGGCTGTATGTGTTGCCCTCGGTATTTTTCCGGGATCCGGGCCGCCAATACCCTTGGGGTAAATGGCGTCCGGGTCCGGAGTTGGATGATGTGTTCCCCGGAGCCCTCGGCTACCTTCTTCTGTAATTCCTCCATTTTGGCCATCATGGCCTCGTATTTGAGGTCTGAATGAGGGGTGGAGGTGGTGGCGTGAGCTTTGTTGGCCTCCATTTCATCAAGCCGGCGTTGGAGGGCCGCAATAATTTCGTCCTGGGGGTCCTTCGGGAGGGTCTCCGCCCCCTGCGAACGAACCCGGGCCGAGTGGGCCTGGTTGATTTGGTGGCGAGCATCGTCGGCACGAAAGGGTGTCTTGCCTTTGTCCCGAGGGGGACGCTCCTCGTCTGCCCTCGAGACAGACCCTCCGCTTTCCTGGGGCCTTTGGAGTGCTTTTCCTCCGAGGCGGTCATGGACCCCTCGACGGTCTTGCCCCCCTCCGAGCCGGTTGATGGCGGAAGTGCGGGGCCTTTCTCTGTTGTCATTGTGGCGGTCCCGGGACTGAACTTCCTGGGAGGCCGTATCTTGGGCCACTACCCCTTCATCATTCCTAACCCGAGGGACGGGGTTTCCGAAGGGGTGTGGCAGAGGGGGAAGTATGATGTTCTCCCCAACCTGGGGTTGAGCCGGAGCCAGGGTGCCAAAGGCACCCGGGTTCTGAGTTAGCGTCTGGATGAAGGCGGAGAGCGCCGAATGAACGTCGATGGTGAGAATCGGAGGGCTGACTTGATCATCGCTCCGGTTTTTCTTCTTGGCCTCGATGCCGAGGCGGGCATCGGGGGCATTTTGCTGGATCTGAAGGCGTAGATCGACAGCCGTCTGTTCCAGCCCAACGATGACACCGCCCTCGGGAGCCCTGTGAGAGGCTTCGGGGGCGTTGACGTCACCGAGGGCCAGGTTCCTGTCTTCTACGTTTTTGGAGTTGGCACGTGTTGTTCTCACCATTTTGGTAGAGGGCTAGTGTTTGGCGGAGGGGGAGGGTTTCTTAATAATTATGTTTTTATTCTTCTTTAATATTTTTTTATTATTTTTATATTAATTAAAAATTAGAGATATAAAAGACTATGAACCACGTGACTTCCATTTTCTGGATCGCCATCGTCTATTATTGAAAATCTGTTTTCTTGATAAAACCGTTAACGACTATCACAACGCTATAATGCAAACCGTAGTATATATGACCATGATAAAAGTGAAACCAATATAGGGAAAAGTCATATATCTACTCATCTAGTGATAAGAATGATGAGAACAAGAATAATAGCAACGAAATCAAAAGCTGGCTCTTTTGAGTGATGTTAAGGTAACGGCGGCGCCTAACGGTGACATGGCTGCTTCTATATCAAACGAATCGTACCGGAGAAACAGCTCCACCACCATCAGCCTCGACACCAGCATCACAAAATCCTTTCCGGCGCACTGCTTGTCGTTGACCGTCGGACTCTCCGTTTCCCTTCCGTTTGACCACAGCACGTGCTTCAGCAGCTCCTTCCCCCCTTCGCTGACGAATCTGTCCGGAACAAACTCCTGGGCCCGCTCGAATATCTTCGGGTCCTTGGTCGCGAACGGTTGGAACCCGAATAGCATTTCGCCCGCTTTCACCTCGAACCGGGCGTCGTGCGACTCGATCACTATGTCGCGTTTGGCTCTCCCGTATTGCGTCGGCACCGGCGGCTCGATCCGGAAACACTCGTAAACCACCGATTTCATCAGCTCCATCTTCTCCATCCCCGCCATCGTCACTCTCCCGCCGTTCGATTTCACGACCGTGCGGATTTCCCGGGCTAATTGCGTGTGCAGCTTCACGCCGGCGCGTCCGATCCACTTCATCATGTTCGGGAAGAAAATCTTCATCCCGCCGAAGGAGTTGAAGCACGTGGCGAATACGAGGTTGTGGCAGGCCTCCTCCCGAGACACGCCCAGCTTCTCGCCGTGGTCGAGAATGGCGGTGGAGTTTTGGTAGAAGAAGTCGTAGAGCTTCTGGTAATCTTTCTTAACCAGAGCAGGGGGTAGCCGGAAAGTATGGATGAGGGGTTCTTCTACCTGCTTCGGGAGCCCGAGGCTGAGGACGGGATGGAGATTGAACAGTACCCATTTTCCGATGAGCTTCGGGGCGTCCAACCCGAGCTTCGTCGCGGCTGGATCGACCCCGTAGAGTGCACGGGACAAGAAATTGAATGCCGCCTGATCGTTGGCTGCATTCAAGCCGACCTTTCCGTTATCCGCGACTTCTTTCTCCAGAGCATCAAACATCTCCGAGTAGCTGTTGTGAAACTCCGGCATGATCTTATCGCGGCGGTGGGCGAGGAGGAAGAACATGAGGTTCTTCAGACTAGCATGGTTGGGCTCCGATGGGTCAATGTAGGAGAGAATCCGGTAACCGCCGGTGAGTTCAGTCGACGGCATGTAAGTCCCGGTGAAGACGTCCCTCTTTTCGACGACGGAGACGTCGAAGAGCGTTGGAAAGCTCTTTCCGTCCAGCAGACAGACGACTTTCGGATCGGAGGAGATGAAGGGGCCAGGTGGCATGTTGACCCTGAAGACCGTTGACTGGTACTTCTGAATTCTTTGCCGGAAAAACTCCTCTCTCCCCTGGTTATAAAAGTAATCCAGCCGGTCCTTCATCGGCCCGACGACAGGGAGGCCATAATCTCCGGGTATTTTCCTAAACGGCAGTTTGGAAGAAGGTGGCTGGCTCTGCGGCGGCAGCGGAACAGACACCGACGGCGGGTTATCTGAAACAGAGACGCTGACGACATGGGATCTGAAACGGCGTTTGGGGGAGGATTTCTGAAACGGAAGTTGGAATTGGAGAGAGTGGGAAGCAAGTGAAGAAGCCATAAGTCTCTGTTTCAGAAAGAGATAATAATAAATTAGAGAGGAGTATTTAATGGCGGGCGTAGACGATATCTTCAAAGAAGGCTGGAACAGAGGATATTCGTGTGGAGAAGGCTGTTGTTGAGAATATAATAATGAGTTGAAATGAGGAGTGTATATATAAGCAAATATAGATAGAGAGGGTCTGGAAAGATGAAGGGGCGTTGGGGGAAAAGTGAAGTGGAGTCCAGAAATCTGCACTTAGAATTGAGGGTTGGATTTGAATCCAGATTTTCACATTGCAGAATTCAAAAGGGCAATTCCAACATATTCCTTTCTATTTCACAATTTGGACGGCGTGTTGTATGTACGCGTAAATTTTTCCAAATTATTAGTCACTTGTAGGCCACTTCCCGAAAAAAAAAAAAAGATCCGGTAAATTGATAAAATCCGTAATGTATCCGTGAGTTTTTAATTGTCCGGTACGGTCCGGTTCCAACGGTAGAACCGTTCGATACCATGTCGTTTCGTAACGGTACAAAACGGTATGGTACAATATCAAATTCGTGTTAAAAAATTTGAACAAATCTTGCAATTAGTAGATATCATCACACCAACCAACTCACGTGAAATGTTGATATAAATACAAGAAATTGCATACGTAGTACTAAAATTCACAAATAATGTAACACACCTAAGAAAAAGTATATCAAAATGATGACACACGGGATAAATATAATCTTTAATTTACTAAGTTCATGTGAAAATATAAAAACGAATATTATCAAATTATTGAATATAATAGAAGTCTTAGCTTCAACGTTCTTCTTCTTCGTTCTAAGTTAAATATTACTCCGTAGTTCTCACTTAATTTAAAGTTGAACCTTGAAAGCTAATATTTAAACCATATTAATTAAGTTGTAAAAATTGCACAAACATGATACAACAAAAAGTCATGTACACTACATTACTAGAAATAAATAGTCAATAATGATTTCTAAAAATTTAATATTCTTTCAATACATACCAAAATATAACATAAATTATTTAAAAAGAAAAAATAACAATATATATATATATAAACACTCATTTAGATATCTTAAGGACACATGAATATATACATATTTGGGCTATAAAATTGTTGGTCTATAAAAGAGATCTATTGGTATAGAAAAAATATAAAAATTCAAATGCATTATTTTCGAACGGTTCGGTCCAGTATTTATCGGTTCTCAAAAATCTAGGACCGGTCCCGTACCCGTTCAAACGATACGGTTTCGGTACGGGATAAAAATCTATAAAACCATTTAAATACCCGATATTCGGTTCGGTACCATTACGGGATGGTTCGGTACCGGTTCGGTTCGGGTTTTATCCCCACCCCTACCGCAAATTATATCGTGGTGTCCGTGGGATCGGCCCACCTTTCGCATGGTGTGCCGATCCCACTTTTGAAAAGTTACGTTCTTTTCTTTCCTTCCCCGGAGCTTCCTACCTTTTCTTTTGTTATTCTTTCTTTATTTTTCTTTTGTTTAATTCTTCTCTGTTTCCATCAAATAAAAATATTAAAAATTTAATCGTAGTTTTACTTTTCCTTATCTTCAATTTAAATTATAATTGAATCTATTTTTGAATTATTTATCAGTACATGACAAAAAGTTTAATAATCTAAATAAAATAAGTACATGCATTACATTTCTCATTCATAAACTATTTTTTTGTAATATCTTTTTTACAATCATACATTTTTTGTAATATATTTTTATATGCATACACTTTTTCTATAATATATTTTTTATCACTTCTAAATGTTTTTAGAGGTTTTTAAGATATTGAGTTTGTTTATTTTGATTCTAGCTTGGAGTTACATTTGATAATATACGAAGTTACATCGTCTTATACTTGAGTTACGTCTTGTTATGCGCGAGTTACCTGTAATTATGCGTGAGTTATATCTAATTATTTGTGATCTTTTACTTATGTTTATCTTGAACTAATTAAATTATAACTGAATTAATTTTTTTCTTTACCAATATAATACAAAATTTTATTGATCCACATAAAATAAGTATATTGTATTTCAAATTCATACACTATTTCTTACTTTGTATACTTTTTTATATTTATTATACACTTTTGTTGTAAAATATTTTTTATATTCATACATATATATATATATATATATATATCTTATCTCTTTTATATGTTTTTTTGTTTTATAGACATTAAGGTTGTTCATTTCGATTTAAATTTGAAAAAAAAAGAGAATAATACATTTTTCGCATGTGTGAGTTATGTTTATAGATAATTTCTATAATTACATTTGATATTATATGGAGTTACATCTTCTTATGCACAATTTACATCTTCTTGTACGTGAATTACATCTTTCTATACGCGAGTTACATTTGAGCATGTCTCAATAAATTACATTTTGCATATACTAAAGTTAAAATTTCAATCAACGCGGGTTGCATTTTCTGTAATACGAATTACATCACAACATAAACCCTACTATTGAAACAAAAGAATCATTGTTATGCAAAAAAAATTGTTTTCCAAAAAAATGTGTTTTGGCAAAAAATATATTTTTAAAAAAATTTTATGGATTTAATATTAAAAAATATATATATATTCACCATTTATGTTAACCACTGATGTTGAATAAAAAAATCACTTTTTTTTGCAAAAACAAAATGAGTTTTTGGTCAAAAAAATGATTTTTTGGCTAAAAAAAATAAAAACAAAATTATGTCGTTCATATTAAAAACAAAACATATAAACTATTTAAGTAAAGTAATTGAGCAATTAGACTCTTTGTTTTCATTAAAATCAATGTTTTATTTTTTATCATTCGTATTAGACAAGTTACATTTTGATTTGCTTGCTGTTACATTTCTTATTAACATGAGTTACATTTTGTTACACGCGAGTTACACATATTCCGCTACTGGGACAATGAAAAAACAAAAAAGAAGTTATTGTTCACGCGTGTGAACAGTAACATGTTTTTTTTTTCTGTGGGGGCAGCATGCTCATCGTGGACTGCTCCCACAGTATACCAACGGGCCACTTTCCGGTTCCGAACCCAATAGAAACTGGACCCGAATGTCCAGAACCAACCGGCGGTTCACGATTCACCAAATCTGCAAACCTGAACTGCAACCTTGAAGGGCCGGTTCAATGCGATTCCAAACCGCCGGTTCAATGCGGTTTGGTGGTTTTTTATAATTTTTATTTTATTTATTTAGGTTATTTCTATATATTTAATTAAAGGAATTTTATCGATCAAGGATCTGAAAGACTATTTAATTATCAATCTGGGACTTGAAAGATGAATTGTATCGATATAGGACCCGACTGGTAGAAGACTATCAATTTAGGACCCGAATGATTGAAAACTATCAATTTAGTACCTAGGTTGTCCTGAATTTTATTTTATTTTTTATTTTAAATTTTTTAAATATTATTTATTTTTACTAAACTAATAAACTTTTGTGAAGAAAAGTTTATCAAAAATTAGCAATGGAATTAATAGAAAATTAAATAAATCAAAACCAATGAAATGTTAGGTCCTATATTGATAGTTTTTCATCATTCAGGTCCTATATCGACACATTTCTTCTTTCAGATCCTGAATTAATAAAATTCTTTAATTAAAACATTAAGATATAATAACAACACTTTGTTAATTAAAGACGTACATTGTGATATAAAAACATTAAAGATGTCATAACAATGTTTGTAAGTTATTTATTTTTAATAAATTTGAGCTTAGACTTGGTCGGTGTAACCTAGGGTGGACTGGTCGGGACTGGCCGGGCTCGAGCTTAAGGGGTCCGGCCTGGTCAGGCCCAAAAAAAGAGCACATAGCCCGCCCTTATAGGCACCGGGCCAGGACCGAGCTTATACAGTAACGGGCTGGGTCGGGCCTAAACAGTAGCGGGTCGGGGTCAGACCGATCCATCCCAATCCACCCTAAGTGTAACCTTCTAAGTTGCCTACCTATCTTTTCGATGTATTGAGAAGAATCAAAGCTCACATAATTCTATTCATTAAATAAACACAATAACATTATTCTAAGCTTTAAAGTTTAAAGATGTCAACTTTAAAAAAATACCGGTTCTCAAAAATCCCAAAAACCGAACCGCCTCCCACAACCGCAGATTCAGAACCTTGGACGGAGACCGGTTACGATTCTGATTCTGGTTCCGATTAAACCGGAAACCGGGGACTTGTCTAGTCCGCTCTATTATTTATTTCTCATTTACATTTGACTTTTACAACTAAATATGGGTAAAATTTGAGAAAATTGCTTTTGGTATGTCAAAAACATAACTCTTCCATGGTCAGTGCATTGGTGGGGAATCATTCCGTGGTGCAGCAACAAACTAATGGTATATTTAGCGACTTGATCAAGGACAACAACTCCAATCCTATAATGGTATTTTTATTCAAAAAAAAATCTTATTTATGGAAGTTTAAATTATATCCTATTTCTTGAACATAGTTTTATTTCTATCTGAGGTCTTCTCCATAAAAAATTAGTTTTAAGACATTAGTAAAGTCATTGTCACATGACATAATTGATTAAATAGAGCATATCATCATCATCACAATAGCAATCACCACACGCACAAAAGTTTTAGTTCATGTGAAAGTCATTGAAATTTTTAACAAAATTCATATGGACATATCCCGATTTCAATACATCGATAAAAAGTTGACTTGTCCAATTTTGGTGCAACGAAATCCGTACATGAAATTGTTGTATACCAAAATCAGCGTGGACGGTGGATCTAATATTTTCTGTACCTCTAGCAGTCTAGCCTCACATGTAAATATGTAATATTATCATACTATGGGTATTAGTAATAGGACCGAGCACGGATTTGAGATTTCTCGTTATGTACCGAAACCGTTCCGAACTGTACCAGAATCAAATGAACCGGGAAAATATAATATCATGCTGTACCATACCGAATTTTTTTAATAATATGGTATGGTATCGGATCTTAAGTGAGAACCATCTCAGAACCATATCGAACCGTATTGTCCCGTATCGTCCTGAAAAATTGGTTATATTATACGAAGTATTATATTAGCCAATAATCTACTTAGGTTACTCAAAGCTTTGATATAGATTGTATA